TATATATATATATATATATATATATATATAAATATATATATATATACACACAAATGTACATGTATATGTATATATATATACATTTATACACACACACACTCATATATATAAATGAAAGAAAAAGAACTTAACGTGCTATGCATAGGGAATGAAACCCTTTAAAAAATTGACAGTTATATACTTGGAAAAAAGTTAACATCAAATACCTACTAATCTCAAATTACAACAACACTATCAAAAACAACAGCATCCAATTTTACTTACTGGCTCATTCAGCCTCTTCCATATTACAGCCATGCAGTAGATGGCTGCAATAGGAGGTGCCAGGTACGACGCAATGACTTGTATGTACACAAACAGCTGTCCACCTTGTGACCTCTCGATGATTGGCATCCACAGGATTGAGATGACGACCAACACGACGATAAACAACCTGTTAAAAATGATCTCGTTGTGAAGATAGAGTCGTTTTCTTTAAGTCACATACGCTGGTGTTATTTAGCCATTCACATTTTTTTGTTTTTTTGTTAGGTGAAAGTTTCATAGGTTCCTACAGTAGTTCATGTCTTATGTTTTCTTTGTGCGTTATGTTGGAAGTGTACAAATATTGGCGTTGGCAAGACAAATGATTTAGTTTTCCGTCGGTTGGGGTTGTTTCTTCGTGGTACTTTTTTTCTGAAGTCAATAGAGTAATTGAATACCTTCGTGAGGTATTTTGCACTACTACACACTATGATATTCCAATTCTGAATGAATTCGGTGCCTTTCTCAGTTCAAATTCTTGCGGCCGCCAGTTTTATCGACAGTTTCTGTACAATACCCGAAATCTGTCTCCACTGTTTTATTTGCAGGAAAAAAATACTCCTTGTCACTATCGCAAGGGCAGAGACCACAAACTACTGGGTAACATATGTATACATGCATATATACACAAACACATTTATCAAGTTATATATGATACATGTGTGAATATATGGAGTAAAGCCTTAAAACTCAAAAAATACCGCCTTTACCTCCCGACAAGCAGCTGCTCCCTCGCCTTGGCCTTGGGTCGACACAGCGTCCACAGATCCATCGTGAAAAGCGTCGAAGCCGAATTGAAGATCGACGTCAGGTTACTCATGAGAGCCGAGAGCATGACCGAGACCATGATGCCCCTCATGCCCCCAGGGAGAAACTCCAGCACCAGCTTCGGGTACGCCGAGTTCGAGCACGAGGTAGCCGATCCGCAGAACTTGAGGCACTCCTCGGGAACGACGCAGCCGACTTCGTTGGGAAACAGGACGCGAGAGATCATCCCTAGAGAGGAAATTCGGAATGAAAACGTTAGATTGTGATTAGGGAAGGAAAGAAATTGAATTTGTGTATAACAATCTTGTGTGTAATGATAATTATTTTGACCTTGCGTATTAAATTTGGTGTCATGATACTAATATTTTATGGTTATATTTATTTTATATTTGTTGATCATTTGTTCTTTTTTTTTAGATTCTCACCTGGAATTACTATGATAAATACTGGAAGGATCTTCATATAGCCTGCAAAGAGTGTACCACCTTGCGCATGGGACAAACTCTTGGCTGCCATAGCTCGCTGAACCATCATCTGAGTAAAGCAACTATGTTAATTACTGCGTTCATCATGATAAACACACACGTTCATTCCCCAACTTACACACGCGCGCGCACACACACACACACACACACACACACACACACACACACACACACACACACACACACACACACACACACACGCACACACGCACAAATTCATCGAATCACACATCGCATCGCCACGTGCGCCCGGACACCCAAGCCTTGCACACGTACCTGGTCAGTGCACCAGTACCAGATGGAGGCGGGCGTCTGGCCCAGGAGGAAGGCCGGCCAGGGCATGTCGCTCACCGTCGGGTCCGCCTCCCTCAGCATCTTCCAGGAGTCCGTGCGAGGCAGCCCGCAGGTCGAGTTGGGCAACAGCTTCTCCGGGATGGCCTCAAGATACTTCGTCTGCAGGGCCGCGTACCCGCCAACGGCCATGAAGCCTTCGGAGCAAAAATATTACACCCGTAAGAAACAGCAATATTAGAGTGCTCGTGGTCACAGTGGTATTTTAAAGGGTGAAATAACAATTTTGGGATTTTTACTTAGGAAAAATGTGTTCGTGTTTGTATGTTTTGTCTGTCACACACACACACACACACAAACACACACACACACACACACACACACACACACACACACACACACACACACACACACACACACACACACACACACACACACACACACACACGACCTCTCGCCCACCCCCTTGGACGTGGAAGTTCCGGTTGACCTGGAAGTGTTGTGGGTGCGGCTCACCCCTCCTCACCACCCTCGCCTCGCCGCGTCCCTCATCTGCTGTGTGCTCTACCACCCCCCACGAGCCCCCACCAAACAACTACTACTCAGTCACCTGACCCACACCACTGACCTTCTGCGTGTGCGATACCCGTCATGCAAGATGATAATATGTGGTGATTTTAATGAAATAGACACACTCGACCTGCAAAATGAGCTCCTTCTTTCACAAGTAGTAAACTTTCCCACTTATGAACAAAGAACCCTGGATTTGATCCTTACAGATTTACATGACTGGTATCAGCCCCCTCTACCATATTCTCCTGTCGGCCGTAGCAGAAACGTTTCTGTGTTATGGCTGCCTTCGCCCACCGTCTCTCAGCCAAAGCAGACCAAGACCAGGAAGTACAGGCCACTCACACAGTCCTCTATCATACGGTTTGGGCAGTGGATTACCCAACACCCGTGGACTGACGTTCTTACCGCTGTTGATGTGGAGGACAAGTGGCACTACTATCTCTCAACCGTCACTACAGCTTTTCACCACTTCTTTCCGGAAAAGTCACTCAGTACACATCCTTCGGACCTGCCTTGGATCACGGGCCGCATAAAACGCCTCATTCAACAGAGAAATCAAGCCTTCCACTCGCACAACATTACAGCCTAAAAATCACTCCGCAACACGGTCATCAGGGAAATAAAAACAGCCAAGAAAACCTTCTACCACAACAAGCTACAACACCTGCAGCCCAGCCAATGGTACGGGAAAGTTCGGGAGCTGTGCGGCCTTGCAAATCGGCCGTGCACGTTTCCATGCACCAGCAACCTTAGCCCCAGTGAAGCAGCAGAGGCTCTCAATGACCACTTCGCCTCAATCTGTCAGCAACTACCCCCCCTGGACACCACCCGCCTCCCCGCCTACCTGCCGGCCCGCGCACCTGCTCCCACAGTCAGTCAGTCCCAGGTGCTTCAGAAGCTTGGGAAAATCCGCATCAAGAGAGCCACCACCCCCCTTGACCTGCCAATGCGCCTCATCAAGGAGTTCGCAGTGGAACTTGCCATTCCTGTTACCTCCATAATAAACGCCTCATTGCAACAGTCTAAGTGCCCGTCACTATGGAAGACCGCATTTGTCACCGCCATCGGGAAAACCCCAAGCCCCGCCTCATTCGGCGAACTACGACCTATCGCCATTACTCCGTTGCCCAGCCTGCTGTGTGAAAGCTTTATCGCCGACTGGGCTTACCAGGACCTCGCGCCCAGCATTGACACTCGGCAGTTCGGCAACATGCGCTCCTCCTCCACCACACACTGCCTCGTCAGCTTCCTCGACTTCGTCCACGCCCACCTCGACAGGCGCAAATCCTGCGTCACCAGCATCTTCTTAGACTTCAAGAAAGCCTTCGACCTGGTGGATCACACTACGGTCATCTCAAAAGCAGTAGCTTCCACGGGCATCAGGGAGTGCCTCATTCCCTGGCTGGCAGACTTTCTCTCCAACAGACAACAGGCCGTGCGCGTGCAGGGTCAAGTTTCCAGCCTTCTGTCACTCACGTGCGGAGTCCCCCAGGGGACTAGAATGGGCCCCCTGTGCTTCCTAGTCATGATTAACGACGCTCTCCTTGATACCGAGCATCGTTGGAAATATGTGGACGACTCGACCATCGCCGCCGCCATTGACAGATCCTGCCCTGACCACTCCGCCATCCAGCGCACCCTCGACAACCTACTCTCCTGGACCTCCGCAAATCACGTCACTATCAATCGCCAGAAGTCGGTCGTGATGCAGTTCGACTTCTCCGCCAACCCCACCCCCTTGCCCTTCCTCACACTGGACGACCACCCGCTCGATGTAGTCCGTTCCACCAAGCTGCTCGGCGTCACCATCGACGATAAGCTCTCCTGGACGCAGCACGTCAGAGACATCGTGAGGTCTGCCTCGTACAGGCTTCACATGCTGCGCCGTCTCAAGTCCCTTGGCGTTCCACTCCCGGAGCTTCAGAATACCTACAGGCTATTTATCCTCCCTAAATTGACCTACGCCTCCCCCGCCTGGTCCCCCTCCCTCACCGCCACCCAGCTGCTACAACTCGAGAGGGTGCAGAAAAGGGCAGCCAAGATCATCCTCGGCCCTGTGTATACCAGCTATGACAGCGCCCTGACCGCCCTAGGCCTCGCCTCCCTCGCCACTCACTACACAACCTCACTGCAGCAGTTTGGCCTCAAATTGCTGTGCCATCCACGCCACCGTGACCTGCTGCCCCCCGGCGCACCGCCGCCTCGCCGGGCCCTACGCGCCGCCAACAAATTGGTGCCCATCAGGGCCCGCACTGACCGCTACCACCGGAGCACAGTACCCACTCTAGTCCGACTCATCAACGAACACTAGTCTACATTTACCGGTCAAGTTCTTAGCACACCTGAATTTGTACTTAGCTTTTATTTTTTGTGTCTATTTTGTTGTTATAGTTTGTTAGTTTACCTTGTTGTGTGTTGTTTTTATGTCTATACATATATAGTTTGTCTCTTTATCTATATTTCTATGTATATTTTCAGCCCCTGGCTGCATGAAAATCAATAAACCGATTATTATTATTATTATTATTTTATTATTATTACACACACACACACACACACACACACATATATACATTCATATATATATATATATATATATATATATATATATATATATATATATATATATATATATATATATATATATACACGCAGCATGTCTGTCATACATAAATATGTGCATATGATTATACAAATACATATCGATATCAATATGAAAAAACATATAAACGATACCTTTCACAATCAGGAACACTGATCCGCCAATCATGATGAAAAACTGCAGCGTGTCGGTGTAGATGACGGCGGCCAGTCCTCCCACCAGAGTGCAAACCGCGGTCAGGAGCAGCAGGAAAATCAGACACACGTAAAGATTATTTACGCGGAGAGTTTGCTGGATGAAGATGGCTCCTGAATACATGTTTACCTGTGAAAAAATATATGAAAGTAGTTATTATCCAAAGGTCGGGTGAAAGAGATCGAAGAAAGAGACGGAGGCTGTAGTTGGTTTGAGAATAATAGATGTTATTGATAAGAGTATGAATTATTTTCAAGTGTAAGGGCACAAGGCTAGCTTTCAATAAATTAATACTCATTTATATTTTATGCCATTTCACTCGGGAATCTGGCCTTACGTAAGGTACTGTTCTCCTATTTTTGCATTATTGATTCTATATATATGAACAATGTAAGTTGTATCTAAAATTTTCTTGGAATAAAGTAGATCCTTGTTCAGTCTCGCATATGAAACTTTACCAGCAAAATATTGCATTGTCCAAGATCGAAGGTCTATACTCGCTACAGGTACCTATCATATATACATATAAAATTGAACAAAGTTAAACTCTTTTTTGATTTCTCATAAGTTTCCATTATTCACTTCGTGACTACCAGACTAGGAATGGTCCATGTAGCAGGCAGATCGGTTTCTAATTCTCTCTCCAGCCCAGGAAATGATAATTTCAATCTGATCAGAATAAGTATCTCTTCAGTCCCGTTTCGCGTATATGCTATAATAATAAGACGTGCATAGTCTTTTGCTTCAAGTGGACCCTCGTAGCAAGGGAGAAATTAACTTTCGGTTGGAAAAGAAGGTTCAGAATATCTTTTGTGAAAAGTGTATGCATACAATTAATTTAATTTCAGTCAGATTTAAAAATAATTATCTAGAGTATATGAGCTTTGGAAGTCTGTGCCATATCCTGAACAAATAGTGGGCACTGCCCATGCTCTCCTGTGGTGCTTTGGATCAGTTCTTTAACTGATTAATAGATTAATTCATATATTCATATATTTTCAGATATTGTCAAGATCCTCAAATCTTGACTGAAGTTGTAGATTAATGTTTAGGACAATGGTTTGGCCGCGTTCTCCCATTCAGCAATACACTGTTTTTTTAACATTTGTTCCATTAGCATTTGTTCCTTTTTGACTTCCTCTGGGTCAGACTTTTGATATAGATCTTCCTATATAGCTTTATAACTAATGAACTCTCTTCAAGAAGGCATCTAACACTTCCTCCAAGTGATGCACACATACAGTACACATACGGTTTGCAGACTGTATATGAAGGTTTGTGCGTCCATAAGTGTTCTCAGACCAACATGCCTTTACTAACTGAACTAAATCGATTTGTTAATGCACAACAGTTATGAATCTGTAGTGCATTAACGTGAATATATCGATATTTAAGCTATTGGCGAAAGTTTAAACTACCAAAACATTCAATAATTTTCGATTAGTAGGTTTGAGAACACCTTATAAGTAATGTGAAAACAAAATATGAACTGCCAGACCACTCTCTTGGGGAACTCCTTTGTGCAACAAATCTGCCCCATTGTCCAATCTCGGTTAGCGGTCGCGGAAGGGTGTTTCTGCTGTACCCTTGCCTACTCCCCGTGAACACCGCCTTAGCCACGTGAGTCCCTTCTTAGGTGCAGTACTATGTGTTTTTTCACAGGGTTTGACGTTGGACAGGGGAGGGTTCCGTATCCCTGCAGTAAAGGGTGGCTACCTTTCTGCCTGTGCCCCTTCCCGGCCCGTAGACTTCACTAAGAATACGTTAGCTATTCTCGGAGCGTTCCTGCGTAGTCATTTTGGACAGGGAATGATGCCGGAGAGCTCCGTTGTCAAGTACGGCTGCCTTCGCCACCGAAACAAGTGCCATCATTTGTTCTCGCTCAGCAAACTTGTCGTTGGTGGTTCCTTGCCCTATTGTCTCTGGGGTACGGTTGAGAGTACGGTCCAAGTTTCTCCACTTTACAAATAGGGAATATAATAGAAGTATATTGTGATTTATGGGTGCAAAAGTTTCCGTGCTGTGAAAGCTCCTGGGTGTTCCTACACTAAGAGCACTGGCTTTCCCTTGCTACACGTAGGTCTCTTCGACCAGCCATCCTGTGCCACATAGAGCACCTGGCTGCAGCCTAGGTCTTCAACTACCCTAACATTGGCTGTTTGAGGACGGGTTCTCCTGGGGATCAGTTTTGGTGGGCGGATTACTCTTTGATTTCTAGTCGATAACATCACCTGCTTAACTCTTCTGGGCGTTAACGGAGCACGCCATTCCCGGGAATTGGGACTTTCCCAATGTCTGTGGCAACTTTGACTGCGCTCTTGGATTCTTTCTTCCTACGCTACTTGCCACTCCATGGCTCCCCCCGAGGTCCAGGTGTGGCTGTATCCTGAAGTTATGGATTGAGTGCTCTGTGGCCAAGGTGGTTATGAACCCTGGACTCTTTACCGGGACCTGACTTCTCTGGCTAAGGAAGTTAGTCTTCCCCCTCTTCTAGCTGCTGCCGCTCCTCGCCCTTCCCTCCCTCCTTCCCAGAGCCTCGGGAGGGTATACTTTTCAGAGGGTACCCTCCCCATTCTTCCCAATATATCAGGTCTGGTGGCTCCCCCTCTTGGTGGCACCCTTTTCAGTGTCTCTTCAACTGTCTGCCTCAAACTGGCCATCAGCCCATGGAGCATACTCTTAAGCTCAACCAATGGTGCTGCATGCTCTACAGGACCAGATCTTTTTGGAGCTGATCTACATGCTGGTTGCAGCAGCGGCCTCAGCTGCAGAAGTTTGTCCTTCCTTTAGTGTTGCCCAATCTCTGATCCTGTCTGATACTCTGGGTACATCTTGCATCAGGCTGCCTCTCACCCCTAGGCCCTGCTGGCTCTCACTCTGTGAGACTTTCATTCCCACTAGCTGCTGTCAGTTGATCAGGAATTTTCTGCAGTTGGGCCCTCTACATCAGGGGTGTCAAACTCAAAACCCTTCATGGGTCAAGTGGAATTTCTATTTCCATCTTATGTACCTGGATACTGTATACTTATCAGATTTTAAATGGTGATGCTAATGGAGACAAACTGTATGGCTTATTTCTTCAATGCAATCACAATTTATTGTCACCCCATGAGCCCCTTATGACCATCATAAGGCCACCAATCAAAGAAGTGTATGCCACCTTCTGATCCATTACCTAAATGCTGCCCTCCCTCCAGTCATGGGGTGAGGGTTCTCCTCTAACCAACCTCCTTATTCTCGCTCTGGTAAGCCCTAGACACCTAAGAAATGGGGAATGAAAGTACCAGCCTCTCAGGACTGTCCTAAGATAATGCACTGTTTAAATCTCCATGAGAAGCTCTTGGGGAGAGCCACAAGGGGAAGGACTCTTTCATCCACTGGCCTTACTTCAATTTAGTTGTGCTGACTCCCTTAGCCTTGACTACCTACAGATAGTGATGCTGCAGTAGTCCCATTGACAGGATCCGAATCTCTTGCTTCCTCCTTGAGAGATATGTGATATTAGGGTCCTCTGACCACAGTCTTTAGATGGTGTTCTTGTGCCCCTGAGGAATTCTTACTGATGGGTGACAGGTCCCTGTGAAATGTCCTCCACCCCCTGGGTAGCTGATTTTCCCATCCTGAACCTTACCTCTGATGCATCGGACTGGGATTGGGGGTACCAGTCCTTGACATGCTCCATCACGACTCGAGGTCATAATCCTTCCTGGTCCTTTTAGGCTAGTGTCAGTGTCTGAGAGCGACAGTTGGACTTGTTTTTCCTTCCCAGGAAACCTTTCTTTCAAGAGAAGATGATGCACATACTTCTGAACATGTCAGTGGTTGTATCAACAAGCAAGAAGTTATCCACTTGTCACTGATGTACTTATCTCTGGCTTGGGCCCTGTTCATGGACCTGTTCTCAGGTTAGCATTTTACCACAGCAAGTTTGACAGGTTCCTGCCATGGACACCACATGGCGATTTAGGTATCTTTGGGGCCAAAAAGGTGGTGGAGCATTTACCTATTCCTTCCCCTTCTGACAACCATCCTTGTGTGGGTGGTTTGCCTGTTGAGGTTATTCTAGACCATGTGCTCCCTGGTCCCCTCCATGACCTCATCCCCTTTTCCTATAAGAGATGGTGCAGCAAGAGGCTTTCATCCTTTACTTCATATGGTCTATAACTCTATGCATGGAGCTTTTGTATTGGTCAGTAAGTGCCTCCATACTATTATTAGTAGCGGCCATGATTTCACAAGGTAGCTACATCAATCAGCATAGTTCATGGTGGTACTATTTGCTTCATGGCAGTTCCCTGCTGGATGATCCCTTGTAATATTCCCGACCCATGTGAAAGCTATCATGGACCCTTTGATACTGCTTAGAACCACTGGTATACTGAAGACTTACAAGACAGGGTATTGCAGAACATTGCAGACATAATTCAGTTTTTAGAATATAGTCTATTTATTATCATTTATTATTGGGAATAGTTGGGTCATAATCCCTGGCACTAGAGAGGCTACAACTCTTAAGCCCTAGATCAGCACTTGGGTGTCTTGGCCCAATGAGTCATTAAACAAACATAGCTAAAATGATAAAATATGTCCCAGTAAAGATATCACATTATGCCCTCCATTATAATGATCTCTGGAACCAGTGCCTCTAAGATGCCTCATGTTACAAGAGGGTACTTACAGATATCTTAGTAAATATGTAGAGGACAAGGGAGAGAACAGCTAGGTAGACTTGGATGCGTCGACCCCCAAACCTCTTTTGTGTATACTCTGGGAGTGTGTTCACCTGTAGGATGAAATCTGAGTTAGGAGATTTAAATGAAAAATAAAACTTGGCAGAACATTATCTGATGTACATGTACCGGTACTTATAATATAGAAAGTTGTTTTATTATGCTTTCCTCTAGCTGTAAATTAGAAAATATTGGCAGAACATTATCTACAGTACATGCACACTGATGAAAGAGAAAGTAATTTTATTATGCTTTCCTCAAGCAGCAAATTAAAACATCTTTGTTTTTCTGAATTAAAGGTTACATTGTGCTCCTTTTTCATACTTAGTCATATATTTGAGTTTTTTTCATATGTTAGTGTTGAATCTCAATTATACAATGGATATGTTTGTTGTTTCTCATTGTTCTCCTAGAATTACTATATGCTACTCATTTTATCACTTTATAATATTACATTTCAGGATTTATGAATCTATCAAATTTCTTGGAATGAAAGTGTTATTATTTCTCCCAGGCCCACAGTTTACTTATACTGAGATTAACTTTGTTTAAATTATGAATGTATCATTAATTTTTGATAATGTATTCTTATGCCTTAAGAATTGTTGCAGAATCTACTCTTTAAATAGGGCAAATAAAATCTGTGAGAGAAATTAGTTTTTCTTAAATTTTTCATAATAATGCCAGCCACAGATAATTTTTGCACAATTTTGATTATGTAGTTTTAGCAAACATTCCACTTCTCCTTTACACTCATAACTCTGTGTGATAACCATTAACAGTTCGTATAACTATCTGTCATAGTAAATCTGTCAGTTTCATATTTTCCTTGCTTTCATAAGTAGTCTCAGATGAACCATAAGTAAATATCATAGGTTTTCCTTCCATAACTGAATGACAAACAACAGTAAGGATGCAAGACACACCAACTTATCACCAAAGTCAACTGATATAACCTACATACTATCTGACAATAGTACTACCACAAACTACCCAGCTTCTGTACAACGAGCATTTTAAGCTTTTATGATGTTTCTTTGATAAATAACTTGTGGAAAATCAGTGTAATTTTACTAGAAATTCTGGCACTATTTCTTGCTTATGAATAGTTAACCAATCTTTGATTCAAGACTTCTGAAAACTAGTAAGACAAGAAACAAAGCTCAAATAAAATAAAAAATTATCATATCATCTGTATGGTTATGTCTGATCATGAACTTTCCATGTTTTACTAAAATTTCCATTTTTCCCTCCATAAATCTGACCAGAACTCTAATAAACATTCTTATGTTTTTTCCTTGACTGGCTGAATATTTCTAAAGTAGCAATAATTTTTACTTTCACCATTCCATTGCAAATTCAGGTTGCAATTGTCAAACATATAATAAGTCAGGAAAAATTCTTAATCAGATATATGGTGAATAAGAAACGCCCTGCTCCAAAAATGAGAGTGAACAAAATCGAGGATGTTCAAATATAAGGAATATCCATTTGGACTTCTTTACCACTTCTTAGTTACCTATAACCTATAAAACAGGATTACAATATTATAATTCATATAAAAATAATATTCCTTTTCTAGATAACTTAAGGGCTAGTTTCCCTCAAATGAAGCAATGATATGCATTGGATTCTCTCAGTAAGCCTTCAGATTTATACCCATCCATTCACTTCCATGTATTCATTTCTTCTCTTTACTTTACTTTTCCCTTTAAAAAGTAATTTACTGAACAAAAAGTATAAAAACTGCAAATAAAAATGGTAAAAAATTTATCACACTAATCCCATAAATATTGGTATTTTGATAAAAATTATAAATACCTGATGATATCACAACCAAAACTGGTTATAAAGAAAAATATCTATCTTTACTATTTTATTATTATTTTTTTTTTAACATGTTTCACAGCTTTCTTGCAACATTAGATTGTGGAAGGTAGTTCCTCACCAATAATTGCAGCATCATAGCAACACAAAAAATACGGATAACATAATATAAAAAAGTGTAATTTTCACTAAAATAATGTAGATCTGAGTACAATACACAAATTTGGTGTGAAAGGAGAATAACTCACTGGTTAGCTTTCATGAGATCATCGAAAATTCACACTAGGAAATCTAATGTAAATCATGAGGAGACTCCTACTCCCATTATTCATGACAAAAGAAACTATTCTCCTTGTTTATAATATACATTATTCATGTATAATGATAAAAATCCCTGCAACCCCATACTTAGTTTACACCCTTAACAAGTCATTCATTATAGTATAGTAATATATCAAAGAAATTAAGGTACGGACAGTCTTAAATGCTTAACAGTTTGCTGGCTTTGTTCTGATGTACTGCATATCATGCTAGGATATCACCTGAGGGACTGGAAGAACCTAGGTGAGAAACCTTTTGCCTGACTATGAATTATGTCACAACATAGACAATATGCATAAGTCTATTTTTTTTAAAGTTAGCATTTCCACAAATTCAATCAATTTAAGCCTGTTTACTCCTTAACCTTTATGATATACTTTATACACCTGTAACTGGCCTGAATATTGAAGGGTATAGGATTGCATTTATTTATTCCTATAGGTGAATACTGAATACAAGAAACTATTGGAAGAATATTTCTTGTGGATAATACATGTAGCGGTCTCTTCAAGAATGGTCAAATCTGAAAGTTGCACACTCTACATGCATATGAAAATATCTCGTGCAGCAAAATATTTCTTTAAACATTCTTTTCATAGCATTGCAAATTTTACGGTATAAAGTTTAAGCTGGTGCTAAAGTGACCATACTCTAGAAAACTGTAAAGGTGTAGCTAGTGCAAAATTATCTCTGAATATCCAAATCAGACAAATAGAGACCATCTTACACATGATATATTTGTAACATCAAATATCATATAACTTGTTTAAAATTAACAGACAATAACAACACAAAGCCAAAGCAGTGTACTGCTATTCTAGGTCTTCAGTAGTCTCAGCTATTTTTTTATGTCACAGAAGAAGAGAGAATAATTTTTTATGTATGCGGAGTTGTGTAAAACAGGTACAAAAGAGGGGTTATGATCAGTTATTAAGGAACAGTCATTCAGATCCTGTGTACGTAGAAAACACATGTAATGTAGCAAAGTACATGCAACTACTTACAAGACACAAATAATCTGCATAACTAACTTTATCTGTGCTGCTATTAAAGCCACCAACAAGATAAAATCTAAGCATGAAATAGTAGAACAAATTGTATCTTGTTTAGTGAACGATAAAAGTTATAGAGGTATCACTTTTTTTCATTTAGAGAACAAAGACCCTTCTGGCATAAAATCAAGAAAATTATTCAACAATATCACTGCGAGGACAAAGTGATAACAACTGAATTGTTACTTATACAATACTGAGAATAAACACAAATTTGTATATTTAGATTCCTGTGCACTAGTGTTTGGCAGATGGTTGTTACCCCAATCTCATATAACTTCATATATTATGAAAAACTGTATCCAAATCCTGTTTATTCATGTGTGTAGATATGTGTGTGTGTTTGTGTGGGTTATGTGGATATTTGTGCATATGCACATGATGGTGTAAATTTATTAGTTTGTGTGTGTGTGTGAAAGAGAGAGAGAGCATCAACTGTCCAATTAGTTACCTCCATATACAATTCAACTTTCAATAACAATGATTAAAAAGAGGAAGATATATTTGGTTATACAGACTTTCATTACCTATTGCTTATAGTATCAAATGTGAACAAACTCTGGCACCCACAAAAATCTCTACTTACAAAGACAAAAATCTTTCATATCATCAGGCATACACAGTATATCTGTGTTTAAAATAATCTTTATGCATCCTAAAATATCTGCCTTTGTATGTACAGAAAATATCTAGTCTATCTGTACTATACAAGCACATTGGACAATTCATCCACTTTACAATTACTTTATCATACAAGTCAGTGATAATCTAAAGCTCAAGACCTTAATAGCCTTTGTGAATTACCATAGTAAAGAGGTGTATAACATTCAAGTAAATGGAATGTCTGACTGTTCTGTATCCCTTTTGAAGGAAAATTTGGCTAGGGAATTATTTCTTTGCATGGAAATATCTTTTTAAGTACATCATAATATTCCTGTTGCAATAACCAAAGAGAAATGAAAGAAAGAAAAAGTTTGTCAAACCAATCTTGGTCTTTTGGCAAGACTTTCTTCACAAATTCCTTCTTCTTTACTCCTACACCCATTAAATCACTGAAAGCTGATTTATAGGAGAGAACAGTGGTCTACAAACAACTTCTTGGAATGATCAACCATTTTAAATGCAAAAATGTAAAAACCCTGAAATTACTTTAGAAAAGTAAATATGTAACACAAAAACTGTATTTTTGTGATATAAAAGTAAGGACACAAGCACATTCACATATGAACTAATAATTTGTTCCAAATGTTTTGAAAAAATATGATACAATCTCTCTTGATGTTACTCCTTACAAAGCACACAGAATATAGTAATACTGCACAGCCTTTACTATGGTATTTTCTTATCACTGTAAAATTAGCATCAAGTTTATGGCACCTTTGTTGATATTGCAAAGAAAAGAAAAGAAAAGAAAAGAAAAGAAAAGAAAAGAAAAGAAAAAGGTTAGAAAACAGACTTGCCTTAAACATAGCTCAGAAATCAACAATTTCTAATAAATGCATGTAAAAATGGACCTTTCGCCCTTTGAAACTCCTCAAGGAATTACATAGGGGTTGAGTGTAAGGAATATTATCATTTTAAATATTATCACCTATTTTAACTGCGTGTGAGTGTACAATATATGCATTCACTCTGTGCATGTGTGTGTGTGTGAGAGAGAGAAAGAGAGAGAGAGCATCAACTGTCCAATTAGTTACCTCCATATACAATTCAATATACAATAACAATGAATAATGTGTGTGGTGTGTGTGGTGTGTGTGCGCGTGTGTGTGTGTGTGTGTGTGTGTGTGTGTGTGTGTGTGTGTGTGTGTGTGTGTGTGTGTGTGTGTGTGTGTGTGTGTGTATGCGTGTGT